CCCCCCCCCCCCCCCCCCCCCCCCCCCTCCCGCGAAACAGGTGCTGTTCGGGCGGCAGCAGAAGGAGGCGAGCGAGAGGAAAGCTGCCGCCATGAACGCGGCGAGGGATGCACTGGCCGGGGTGGGGCAAAAGGCGAAGAGGGGGGAGCACGGGGAACACGACGGGGACGTTTCTCCGCACAAGCCGCTACAGATGCTCCAGGTTCGCGCCTAGATCTGATGTGCTGCCTAGCCCTCTTTAGCTGTTGCTACGATAGTTCTGATTGCTGCGTAGCCCCCTAGCTGTTGCTACTAGCATATAGCTTTTTCTGGTTCTGATGTGCTGTTTTTTCTTTTTTTCTGGGTTGTTGGGGGAGCGGTAGTGTTCACACATTGTTTTTAGATCGTTTAGGACTGACGCGTTATGATTGGTCGGGCGTTGCTCGGCGTTGGTTCTGGCGGCCGGTTCCTCTCCAGCGCCCTCTCCCCGTTCCGCATTCTGAGCACGCGGCTGCGCCGCGTGCTTGCCCAGTTCGCGGCCGCTAGGCCGTGCTTTGGGCGTGGGTGAGGGGAAGGGTTTGGTTTAGGGTAGATGTGGGGTGAGCAACCTAGCCTCGCTCGCGTGAAGAACCTAGCCTTGCTACGTTCAACATCGGTTAGTCCTAAAGAGTTACTAATATCAATGTGTTACCACGGCTCTATCGGGGAGTTTTTGCGTGTGTTGGCTTTTTTAGCGTATAGCTCTTGTTTTGTCGCCCGCCTTGTCTGAAGGCGTTACATGCGACGAATTCCGCGCAACATGTTCCTCCTTGTGCCACAAAAAATGCTCACAACACGATGGGCGAATCCCGCTCAAGGCTTCCCGCCTTCTTCTGTCGACCAACCAAAGCGGCGCGGCAGCTGTGGACACCACTTGCCTTCGGTTGCCACAAAACCATGCTCACTCATGACGAATCACTCTCAAGAAAGAACATCGTTCTTTCTACCACTCGAAAAGACGGGGCCCGGCAGCCGTGGACAACACTTGCCCTCTTTGCCACGAGACAATGCTGACGACACGACGAATCTCGCACAAAACTTGCCTTCTTCGTTCGACCGATCGAACCGACCCGGCACCGCAGCTGTGGACCCTCCGCGAGTACCTGGAGAACGAGTTCAAGGAGCTCGAGGCGCCCGGGCGCGTTCCGTTCGGGTACGATTTCGAGAGAGTGGTGGACGACTTCGTCTTCCTTTGTTTCTTTGTCGGGAACGATTTCCTGCCGCACCTGCCGTCGCTGGGCATCCGCGACGGCGCCCTCGACTACCTCTTCAACGTCTACAAGAGAGTGAGTCAGCGGGAGGCGTGGTGTGTGTGTGTGTGTGTGTGTGTGTGTGTGTGTGTGTGTGTGTGTGTGTGTGTGTGTGTGTGTGTGTGTGTGTGTGTGTGTGTGTGTGTTTTGTAAGTAAGACTGCCCGTTCGAGATTATTGCTGACGTGGCGGCGCCTTGGGGTAGGGAGAAGGGATAGCTGACGCCCTGCCCTGCCTCGCGCGATTGGCATTGAAGGCGGGGCTGGGCCGACTCTCGTCCATGTGAGCGACCCCCACACCCACACCCACTCCCCTCCGTTGTGTCCGTCGTCCTCAATCTCGTTGTCCCCCACCGCCCTGTGGCCAGCCATCTCCTGTGTGACGTGACCTCTCTTGCTGCCCCCC